ATGAAAAATTATTCAACAGCATTGACATATTTCGAAAAAGGATTAGAAATACGTGAAAAGAAATTATCAAAAAATCATCCAGATTCAGCTGTTGTATATCATAATATGGCAAAAGTATATTTGGCTACACGAAAATATAGTATGGCAATAAAAAATATTCAACAAGCAGTTGAAATAGCTCAAGAAAAATTACCTTCAACTCATCCTCATCTTTTGGAATATAGAGAAACATTTGAAAAACTTCGAAAGAAAATGTAATCAATTTTTTTTTGTTTACTTGCTCAATAAATTGGTTTTGATTCTTTTTCACTTCCCTACTTTTCTAGGCTCATTTTCACGCGTATGCGCGCGCGACCAGAGAGAGGCCCTCTGCGTATGAAACGAGTACACACAGAGCGGACCACGCCGGACTGGTAGGGCAATGTATATAGGTGTACCGTACATAATGACGGCAGGGACCTACGTACATTAAAGGCCTTCCAGAGTACTACACTGCTTTCGCCATTCCATGACGAACAGAATCTCTCTCTGGATCAGGTTACGAAGCCACCTGATAAGGCTGTGATATAAATTGGTATCTATCTTCTAACATAAATAACATAAACTTAGCATAATAATAATAGTATACACTAAATGTGTACAACAACGAAGAAAAAAAATATTTCATCCGAAATAAATCATCTATATCTCATTCTAACATTATCTCAATGTAAGTATTGTTATGAAAATTTAATTTAGAATTGTTCTTTCAAGAAAACAGAAAAGAAGTTTTTTTTTAATCTTTCAACTATTTATTTATGTGTTCAAGTCTTTCTCAAGATAAATAAGATCATTTTTGAAGCAACATACCCAATCTTGTTATTGGTATAAATCATATTCTTTTTTAACATTCTTATGTTTTTTATAATTTCATATAATTCAAAAAAAAAACAGATAAATTTTAAAAATATCATAGAATAAATTTCTATCATAAATCAATATATCCTAACATATATTATCATTGAAATCAAAAACATTGTATAAAAAAATGAATCATAATATAACATCATTGAATGAATGAATTTCATTATAAATTAATGCATTGTAAAGCAATGAATTTAAATAACATCATTCAATAAATTTCATTCTAAAATAATACATTTTAATATAATATGATTCAATGAATATCATTGTAAATTAATGAAGTTTAACATAATATCATACAACAAGTTTCATTGTAAATCAAAACATTTTAATACATCATGAAATTGATAAATTTCATTGTAATATAATGCATTTATTGAATTGTACAGAAATGAATTTTAATAACACCCATCCCTAGATTTCGTTCTAAAAAAATGCATCATTATATAATATAGATTAATAAATATCATCGGAAATTAATGTATTTTAATCCTTTGCGTCCCAAATTATTTCTGCTGGACACTGACACGTCCAGATAAAAACCAACATGCTCGCATACGGATTCACGTGCGCACACCTACACACCCATATCTACAAACTTGACACCCACCACATCCACACCGTTGAACATTCTTTTTTGCCACATTTCAGTAAATTACATAATAATTATTAAACATGTATAGATTTCTTTTTCCTACTATAGAATTCAAAGGTTTTACATAACATTATGTAACAAATTTCATTATAAATGTATACATTTTCATACATTATAAACTCATACGTAGCATTGTAAATATATTTCATTTATAATATTGTAAATAATTATAAATTGATAACTGTATGTGATTCATGAAAAATTATAATGTAAAATAATACTAATTATTGTAAGTAATATAAAAAATTGTAATCCGTGGAAAATAAATCATATGAGTGTCATGTTTTATCTTTATTGAGCATGCTCATGATTTGTCTGATCGAATCGTATGAGAATACTGGTGAAAATGTGTTTCTTATATATCCGCGTGGCAGAAAATAGTTGGACACAGTATTTTCCACAAATCATTACTATAAAATAGCATTTTGGGAAAAGTAAGGATATATTCGGATAGCCTGAAGAATTCTCTACAACTCTGTATATAAACATTTTAAATTACATTTATCTGGTAAAAATAAATTTGCGCACAGTAAAGGTACCCTCATCTCCAGATTCCCCAAAAAATTTTTTTATTCATTTTTATTTATTTTTTTCAAATTTATTTTCAATATAGAAAAAAGTTATCACAAAACTAAGTATATAATCTGCAAGTGCATGACAATAGCACTAAAGAGAAAAATTCTGTGGTATCCAAGAGAGATATGACAGTTTATTTTTATACGCGTATGTAACCGTTTTCATTTACAGGACACACGGGTGAGAATCACGAGCAACTATTGTTCTCTTTCTTTTCAAATATTATACACATGATCGTTCTCTGAATTCTCGTTTTTCTATTTTCTCGCGAATATAATTTTGTTACATACATCATTTTATAACCTAGTGTTAACTATGGATGGCTATCCACCTCTTAGTCCAGATCTAAATGCTGTTGAGAGTGTATGGTCTTGGATGAATCAGTATGTCCAAAGAAATCATCCACACTCTCAACAGCATTTAGAAAGATTAGTTGAACGAGCATGGAATACGATTTCCCAAAATGTTATATGTGGGTATATCAATCATATACCAAATATTTGTAATCAAATAATAGCTAATAATGGGTGGCAGAGTACAGGATAACAAAGATTTTGATATACTTGTAGATTATATACTTAGTTCTGTAATAACTTTTTTGTATATTGAAAATAAATTTGAAAAAATAAATAAAAATGAATAAAAAAAATTTTTGGGGAATCTGGAGATGAGGGTGCCTTTACTGTGCGCAAATTTATTTTTACCAGATAAATGTAATTTAAAATGTTTATATACAGAGTTGTAGAGAATTCTTCAGGCTATTCGAATATATCCTTACTTTTCTCAAAATGCTATTTTATAGTAATGATTTGTGGAAAATACTGTGTCCAACTATTTTTTGCCACGCGGATATATGCAAGTGATATTACTCGTTGACGGACATCGTCTTTATGAACGGAATGGATGTGTTATCCAATAAAAAATATCTATATTAACAAGACAATGACAGCAAAGATTCATATATTAACTGTGCATGTAGTTTAAGAAATAAATTTTTTTCGAATAAAATATTTCGACGGCGATACTCTGCTTTATTGAAAATAAAATGTTTAGTATTCCAATAAAAATTGATATTAGAAAAGAAAAGAAAAATAATCTTCATTTTATCAAACAAAAAAAAACACCTATTGTTTCCCGTCTTCTACGATCCTATAACAATACGAGTTCAATAAATAACAATCAATATTGAGAAAAATAAAAATCGAATATATCATTCGATCCCATTTTCAAGAGGTGAAATTACACACAATTCATCATCTGGTAAATATATTGACTTAGTATAGACAAAAAATTAATTTATTTTATTATCATAAAACGAATTATTTTTATCAATTGATAGGGAATAGATATGTGCAAGGTCAAAAAAAAAATCTATAGAAATTACAACAAGATATAAAGACTACATCATACCGTTAACTCTGTCACTATTCAAATAAAATTTTTCATGCATCATAAATCAATTTTATTGTTGTCATACTAGAATCACAAAAAGAAAAACATATTATGAATAGAAATGCGAGAGATCAGTGGCATTCATTTCAATCGATATTGGAAGCAATACCATCCAAACAAATTTTCCCATCACCGGAACTCGGCTTTATAGTGGAAACATTCTGTTGAATTAAGGAAGTTATCTTGTAAATCATATAAAGCGAAACATGATTCAACAGGGGTTATCCAAAAAAAAGTCCTACTAATATAAACTAAATAAATCAGGAAAAACTTTACTCAAAATTGATTGAAATTAATTTAAGTTTGAAATCTGATTGGATAAGATCATTTCCTTTTAATCATTGAAATATTAGAATATCAAACAAATCGAACAATAGAAATGTACTTTAAAAAATAATTCATACTGTTATCATTAAAGAAATACAAAACTAAACATATTGATCAGTGGAAAGAAACAATTATAGAACTCATTTATATAAAACGGTGAGAGACGTTAGATACTCATCGACATAAGAATGTTTGCCACAACGATTATTTATTTATTTGGCAGTGATCCAAATTTAAAGAACAGAAGATAGATGTTCTATTTAAATTCGACCATATAATCCTCCCTAAGAAACCTATGTTTGGTACAAGATTAATTAATTATTGTGTGAGTATCGGTGATTGAATTGTGCCTTCTCTTTATATTTGCTCACATTGATATTCCACAGCCATTTGAGTAGTTGAATTTTTAAGGACAATATCAACATTACATCCATATTTACTTTATTGATCAATGAATTTATGTACACAAAATCAAAAATATTGATGGCAACCAGCAACTGAACAAATGTAAAATGTATTTTGTGAAGAAAAAAACGTCTATTAGTTTTTGCTTTTAAGTCCTTGATTGGAATTTATCGATAATCTTGCAACAATTCATCTTGATGAAGAAAGAATTAATCATTATTCACCATAAATAATTATACTTCAAAGTACAAAAATTCTTTTTCAAACAGTACAACTAATCATGGATTATCCATCATATTTATTTTATTATTAAATTTTCATTGAATATCAACAACATTTTCTGCCTATATTTCTCGCCTCTTTTTCTATTTTTCTATTTTTCACAGTCTCATCTTATTTTCAAGATCAAATTAATCTTTTTTATGCTCTATTTCTAATCAAATCAACTAACTAATATAACAAAGAACCAACAAAATAAGAAGAACGTGTTAATCAGAAAAAATTATAAAAATGTCTTTAACCAACTACTCGATCAATAGTTAAGCACTGCCAGCTACTGTTGTTTGAGTTGCTTGATTACGACGATTACGTTCTAAAAGAAAGAGGGTCAGAGTCCGTCAGGATAACTGAAAATGGGTTTACCTGCATTTAATTTATCTATTTCAAGTTGTGCAAAATATTTTCATCCAACAGCTTGTCCTAATTCAACTGTTGGTGCATTGGTTATTTGATTAGCCATATATAATTGTGTTAATTCATTGATCCTCGTTGTTAATTGACCAATTTCACGTTGACAAGCATCGATCTAAATATGAATATATTAAATCATATAATTATGAAAAACTATCAACATGCATAACACTTTTTTTTCTTATCTTTTTTTCACACTCTCTCTTTCACCTATTTCACCAATTAACATAGAGAGAGAGGGAGAGAAATTGATTGGTTTGTGAAAGAGAATGGAAATGTATAAAAGGTTTAGGATGTACAGCTATTCATACATTCCTTACATTGTTTTTTTTCTCTTTATCTTTAAAAAAATGGCTATTGATTTGGTAAGACCTCAAACACATTAGAGAAATGAATTAAATTTAATTTTGTTTTTATTCAGTACTCTGGCATATATAACAGCTAATCCGCTAATTCAAATTCAGAATATCCTATATAATGTAGTGAAAATCAATGAATACATTATATTTCCGAGCATTAAAGAACTTTATTATTTTATGTTTGTCTAGAACTGCTTTTGAAACTCATAATCTAGAGAAGACTAAAAAAATTTAGTGTGGTGTTTTATAATAAGCAGCTCTCTCTAGTGACATCAATTTCATTCATCTATCTATCCATATATATATATATATTCCATTGTTTAATCAAGCTATTGTGTCATTGGCGTATTGAAGTTCAATCAGAGTTAAGTCATTTGAAAAAGGTGGATTACCTCTATTTTAGCTTTTGTACCAATCCTATTGGTTAACTCCGTTTTGATTGTTATAGTCTGTTTGATGTCATAGAAGAAATAGATAGAAAACGCCTTATCGATACGGCCAAAGGCTATGGGAGAAAAATATTCAAAAGTTCATGCATATTTTTTTTAACGTAGTGAATTTTTTGAATTTCGTGTATATGAGCAAAATGCATGGAAAAAAAGAATGCCTACGCGATTATTCCTGAAAAAGGGCAAAAGCAAGCAGAAGTATTCGTGACATTTATGAGCAATCTTTTGCAAACTTACAATTGATCGTTTGAGATAGTTGATAAATCATTTAATGCTTGTTCCATTTTGCAAACAGATGAAAAAGATTATAGAAATAAAAATCTAAAATGATTATTTGAGCAAAGAAAATATTCATAATAGAAAAGTTTTATTGATTTGCTAAAAGTGAGTGTGTGTTATTATTAAACTCATTTAGTGAGATGTGAAATATATAAAAGAAACATCACAGTTAAAACTGTGTTTTAATAAAATGGAGTTATTTATGCTTGTACAAGACGATCTTCTTGATGAGCTTTATTAATTTCATCATAAATTTTTTGTGCTTCTTCATATTGTTTTGATTGTTTTAATGTATCATCATTATTTGCTGTATTCTAGAAAAAAAGAAGAGACAAAAAATCTTAATTAAAAATAAATTATTTTACATAAACATCTTGAAATTCTTCCCATGATTTAATAAAACTACTTTTTGTATGTGAAATCATTGATTCCGTTTCTTTTAATACTTCTTGTTAAAAAGAAAATCAATTAAATATAATCAAAAGAAAAAACAAACTAATAAATATCTGTTTTTTTCAGAGCATATTCATCTCGACCTTCATTTGCCTTTTTTTCAACTTTACGTTTTTCATTTTTACATACTTTTTTATATGATAAATACTCTTTCCACGTTTTAAAAAACGCAATATTCGTTTTTATAATTAAATTTCATATAGTCACCGTTTAGCAACACCAATTTTTATTTTCAAGTCTTTTAATTTATCAGTCATATTCAAAAAGAAAAAAAGATCTAAAATAAATAAAACATTGAAATTATTGCACACTTATCAAAAAATAAAAAATCATCAATAATTAAATTGAAAATATTTACTTTAACAACACACAAAACAAAAAAAAAGACAATCATTTCTTATACTATTGATAATGTCTGTTTAATATCATTTAATAACATTGTAGCACGAATAATTCGATCAGGATTTATAGTTAAATTTATTATTGATTGAAGAATATTTAATTGAATTGTTAGAAGTATTAATGATTCACTTGATATTGTTTGACCAGAAAAACTATTTGAAAAAAATAAATAAATTCGAGTTGATTTACGAGGGAATCTTTCAAAGTGATTCATCGCATTTCCCATAAGTAAGGCACCTGTAAACTAGAACAAGCCGAAAAGGACATTGGCTCATGTTGTGATTCAACTGACGAGGGAAGGCCACCAACTGTCTCCTCGCTTTTGAGCTGAAACTCAGTTGTCAATAGGTAATAGAACGTGCTGATTCCGAATATCACAATGGTTTTCTCCCGCTTTCGATTTAAAGACCCGTTTTTTAAGGATCTTGGTTTTTCAACTGGAAAACCAATTTCACTAAAACATTTTCTTGATCTGTCCAAATGAAAGAGCACGTCGTCAAGCCTACAGAAAACAATTTTTCAAGGTTCTAAGCGAAGTTTTGAGCGAGTTTTCTGCGTTTAAAACTTAAAAAAAGAGGGAAAAACCGCTAATATTCTTACACAATTTATAAAAGAAAAACTACTGTTTTTCTTTCTGTTCTGTTTTAAGTTTTAGACGCAGAAAACTCGCTCAAAACTTCGCTTAGAACCTTGAAAAATTGTTTTCTGTAGGTTTGACGACGTGCTCTTTCATTTGGACAGATCAAGAAAATGTTTTAGTGAAATTGGTTTTCCAGTTGAAAAACCAAGATCCTTAAAAAACGGATCTTTAAATCGAAAGCGGGGAAAAACCATTGTGATATTCGGAATCAGCACGTTCGATTACCTATTGTCAACTGAGTTTCAGCTCAAAAGCGAGGAGACAGTTGGTGGCGTTCCCTCGTGAGAGGAAAGATAAATGAATTAAAAAACACACTGACTC